CTTCTGGGCAGAACTCTGCGCAGTGGACTGTATTCTTGTCTCGATCAGTGCAGCGGCTTTTCCAGCAAGTCCCTTGCCGTGAAACGGAGCAGAATCACGCTCAACGTTCGTCTCTCCACACCGCGTAACTGGTGGAAGCTCGTAGCAACGAGCTTCGAGACCTGACCCTATAGGGCGCGATGTAACTTACCGCACCAGGCCGGCCTCGAGGATGACGAACTGCAGCAGTGCGTTTAACGCAACGAGGCTGCCCAAGCCGTCAGCCGTTTCTAATTCAATCTTAGAGGTGGCCTAAGACGGTGGATTCAGTCTGCAATCGACCAATGAACCCGAGTTGAACGCAACTCCGAAATGCCCAGTTACTGGAACAAATCGTGGCTCTTATTCGCTTCACCGCGAACTTCTGCGTGGCCGCTATTTCCTTCGATCGAGGTTCCTCCTAGCTTGGAACTTATACGTCTTGCCAAACCGGCGATTCACTACGTCTTAATTCGCGAGTCGAACTACTTTTTCGCGATGTTCGCACCGTGACAATCCGTCGTTGACTCAGGCGGAATCGACGTTCTAACGCTCGGACACCGACCTCGGCGCGTAGCGTAGAAGAGTCGCGCCGATCCGCTCTCTCACTCGCTCTTATTCCTTTTCCCACTCTGCATATCCAAATTTGAATTCTCCGATCCGTTGCCGGTCGGGCATTGACTTCGATCGCGAGAAGGCAACGATTCTCCGTGCTGTTTTTTGCCGCGCAATCCGGCGCGTGTCGCGATAAACACTCGCTCCGGAGGTCGTCGAACACCGATATGTTATTGTTCTCGCGGTTAGCTCGATTTCTACCTTCGGAGAAAAAACCTCAATCCGAAGGCCGTGCTAATGACCGAACCGCGAATCGAATTTATGAAATTAATATTCGATTTTTAAACACTGACATTAGTCACTTCTCGATACTATGTATTTATTTCTATACGTAACTTCTCAAGTTCCCAGCAGTTTCTAGGCAATGCGTTCGTCCCTCGGGTATGCCGTTTAAGAATCTTTTGATTCAGCGAATCAGTTGAACGATGCTTTGAAACCGATGAGGATTCGGACAGAGTTCGCTGGTTAAGAGTCGAGAATCCGAACTGTCGTATAAGCTCCGATGGTCAAGCTTTATAGCCAAAAAGCTAAAGACTCAGCATCCTATTTTCCTTTAATCATTTCGACATGTCCTGGTCTTCGTATGTATCTCGAAATACCTTAATTATGTCGAAACGCTTAGTCGTCATTTCGACATGCTCTACATTTCGAGCGCATCTCAGACCGATGACCTAGAGTGTCGAAATGATTAGTCGTCGCATTTCGATACTCGCTGACTGTTACCGAGCGCGTACTGCGAAAGCGACAAATGACAAGGAATTCAGCCCTTTCACAGGGAACTTTGCGGAGAATTCGCGAACAGGTACTAAGCTCGAAACCGGCCCCCCCGCGGACCTGGTCCGTTCGCTCTAATCAGTGCTGTCCGCAGCCACCAATCTCCAGTCATGCCTCGAACTCGAGCCCGAATCACTTTCCTCCAAGGAAAGATAATGACTCGGCTCCATAACTTGGACTGGTCGAGCCCTAGTCGACGCTCCATGTCCGTCCTGTCCTGGTCGAGCCCTAGTCGACGCTCCATGTCCGTTCTGTCCATGTGCGTCCTAGTCGACGCTTCATCATCTTATCAGCTACATTCAATCTTACAATAGTTTATCGTTTGCAAATGCCGCGTTCGTTGTTCTCGTATTCACCCAGGCAAGCCTGTGGCGCAGGAAAAACTCAACGCATTTTTCTCACGCTGAGAAAACCATACGCCAAGAACAACGATTCCAAAATTACGGGAAACTACTTAAAGTTAATATATACATACGCGACGCGTCGCCATTGACTAGTTTCTTAGAAAGTACGAATCGCGACCTAATTGATGTTTCCCATGCTAATCTGGCCGAGCCGCGAGCGCGACAGGCGAGCCACTACCCTAGAGTGACCACCCTTCCCAGGTGACGCGCTCAGCGGCAACAACGCCCGAGCCTAGGAACACGATTAGTCCCTATCTCCACGAAGGGCCCCTCGCTTTTAACGGTCGTATTCGACCGAGGAGAGGTAACAACGGAACCAGAGCGACCGCTCCTTGCGCGGTCGCCCCGTGTCCGCCAGCCAACCCAGCGACCTATCGCTGGGGTCGAGCGCCCACCTGCCGAAGTCTGCCGTCTCCGACTCGTGCCTTACAAAAGCGTCAGGAACACCAGGTAACCACTCTACTTATTCATTGTCTCAGTTTGATACTGAGGGACGCGGTCATACTTATGACCCGTGAGTGGTTACATGAAGTAACCACTCTGATTCTCCTTACATCGGCTCGATGCCGATTAATGCGATCGTACTTACGATCCGTAGAGCAATTGCACGTGGGGCAATTGCTCTTAATACACAACACACACACATTCATACATTTGACCGTTTGCATTTTCATCGTTCTTTTTATCAAAATATAATTCATTCAAGGGGTTTTTTTTTATGCCACATGGCTCTTTCCCCTAATCATTTCTGTAAGCCAATAAATGCCTTTAAATTGTCTGGCTCAAATCTGAGTTTTATTTACTCCCTAAAAACGTCCTCATCTTCATAAATTTTGAACTACGGAATTTTTCCATGTTGGAAAGGTTTCAACGATACAACAATCTCTCGACGGGGTGAGACAGCGCTTCGGCGTGCTAGACATCTAGGTCAAGACTAATCCGAAGGGTTAACATGTAGCCCTTTATACCCAAAACGGGCCCTTTCCCGGAGTTGGGCATATTCTAGGAGCTTCTACGCCCGTCTCGCCACGTGACTCACTTACGCGAGGGACGCGGACATGACTAACATTGAACGTTCTGGGAACGCGCAGGGCCGTATACGTAACATCTCCTCCTTTAGAAGAAACGTCGTTTATTACGATGCTTCCTCAAGAAAAGTCCAGAATGTTTAATCTAGTTTACAGTGTACGCATCCGAAAGACATACGTCATTGATACACCCACCGCGCACTCACGATATAAATAAAACTTTAAAATATGGAATACGCGGGGGTGAAATAGGGGTACAATACTGGCAAAAATGTCATACTACGGGGTGTTAGTAGGCAATGGGCTATGGCTGGTTCCGTTGGTGTTCGGGGCTGGTCATCTCGTCCTCGATGTTATCGTTACCTTGAGTTTCGTGCTACTTTGTCATTGGTGCCAAGATGATTTCTCGTGTTACAAGTCCCGGACGGCCTCCTCAGCTTGGGTTGATGAGTGAGTAGAACCTTTCCGTGCGCAGGGTTATAATGGTGCAAATATGAAGTTTGCCCATTTTAATCCGTGTCCGAAGAGTCCTCTGATAAATATGCATATCTCAGCTTGTCTTCGTGTTTAGTTACTGTTTTATTGGCGTCCGTTTGCAGAAGAACGTTATGGTTATTTGTCTCATCTATTATTTTATTTGGTTCGATGTAGTGCAGATCGAATTTATGTGTCCAAGGTTCCTTCTGTACATAGACGTACTGTCCTATGTTGAATTCCTTTGGCCTTGAGCGGCGATCATAATAGCGTTTGACGCGTTCCTTCAAATTTCTTGCTGCTGATTTTCTGACTTCTGCTAGTCTTGAGGTTAATTCCGTGATGTAGGAATCGTAGATGTGCAAATCTTGAAATGATGATGGTATCCGGACCATTTTTCCAAATATTAATTCATAAGGCGTATGATTTGTTGTTTCATGTACGGATGTGTTGTAAGAAAACGTAGCGAACGGGATGAACAAATCCCAATCTTCGTAAGTGTTCAAGTAATGTTTGAGATATTCCGTAACGAACGATTAAGATGACTCCTCTCCAAGGATCCGTTGATTTGCGGTCATTAGCCTGATGTCGATAATTGCTTAATTTTTAATATTTCGGTCAGGTGCGTCATGACTTTTCTTAGGAAACTAATTCCCTTGTCTGTCAATATAGCACTGTGTGTGCTATAAATTGCGATAAAGTACCTAGCAAAGGCATCGGCTATTGTCGTGCCTCTAATATTTGGGATTGCAACTGCCAAGCAATATTTCATTCATTAGATTATCTTGCACACGGTGACAAACGGTGTCCAGTGAGATTTGTCGAATGGTTTCGCGGATGTATCTGTAATTAGCATCGGCTGGCAAGTTTTCAATCTTATAAGTTTTTGTATTTTCAGATCGATTCTGTGCATCGGAATCGAAACCGAGGAAGACTGCTACGACGCTTTCGAGCTCCTCGTGACACATGTGCAATAATCGAAGTGACCTAAGCGTCGCATATGGCGTCGATTTGATCGATAGCGCACTCGTAAACTAGATTAAAAGCCATCGATAATAATTTAACTACGACTGGTATTTAGAGTCGATGCTTATTCTTAAGATCGTCTTAAGCATTTGCTTAAGTCCTTGTTTCCTGTGCAAGACAGGGACTGAAAACATGGGATAGACAGGGACAGCGAATTCTTAAGACATTCTTAAGAGTAAGCAACGACTCTAATAAACGACTCTAAATACCGGTCTACGTGCCTGTCTCCTGTTGACCCAAATCAAGCATCGCGAATCATTAATATCGGGCGAAAATCTAAAGATAAACGATCCACGAATAATTGATTATCGAAACGATTCGAGAGCGTTTAGGTTCTAGATATTAGATTAATTTCTAGATTATGCCGATACGTCTATTAAAACAGTCGATTAGCTACTATAAATACCGCGACAATTTCAGTCCGCAATTATAGAATCGTGAGCATCGACGAAAGTAACACGATGCTCAAACACCTCGTCGTTGTCTTTGCCCTCGTGGCCTTTGTGGCCGGTAAGTCTTTACATATATTTATTTATTTGCTTCATTGTGCGGAGAAGAACGTTTCCATTAGAATAAAAAGTACTCGCAACTTTGCATACATAATTCATAATATCACGGAGGTTCTTTCGATGCGTATAAGGAAGCTATCTTGAAACAGGAACATTTCATTCGTCATAGGAAACCCCATCAACCAGACAATGATGATCGACTTACGAATGGATGGCCGTATCGTGGGTGGCGAACAGACCACGATTTACACAGCGCCTTACCAAGTGAGTTTACAGAGATACGGCAATCATTACTGCGGGGGTAGCATAATCGGCAGCAAATGGGTGCTCACCGCCGGTCATTGCGCAGAAGAGGCTGCCAGAACCTACAAAATACGATCGGGCTCTACCACCGCCCATTTCGGCGGCTCGTTGCATAACGTCGTAGAAATTATTCTTCACGAATCTTACGACACCACCAATAACGGCATCCCGGTGAACGACATCGCCCTATTCCGTATCGCCGACACATTCCAATTCGACAATGCACAAAAATCAGTGAAACTATTTCAAGGAAACTCCGCCTCCCTGGCTGGAAAATATGCTCTGATCACCGGCTGGGGAGACACCGAGTCCGGAAATGCTCCAGAGGCGCTGCACAAGGTCTCTGTTCCTGTGGTCAACACGACGAGCTGCAACGATGCTTACAGAAGCATTGGCGGCGTTCCCAAGGGTCAGATTTGCGCCGGATACACGCAGGGCGGCAAGGACGCCTGCCAAGGGGACTCCGGCGGCCCCATGGTCGTCAATGACCAACTAGTCGGCATCGTGTCGTGGGGAATAGGTTGCGGCGGCCGTAATCAGCCGGGAGTGTATACGGACGTCTCGTACTACCGGCAATGGATCAAACAGAATAGCGGCATTTAATCTGTGATTTCCTCTTATTGGAAAAAGATTTGACGAATCGATACGCGAAGAATAACGATTCTAGTCGCAGTTCTGTTTACTACTCGCTGCAATATTAATAATGATTCAATTGAAAATCCCTTTCCTTTGTTATTTTTGAAGTAATAATACTTCTGAAAACTCTATATTTACTAATCAAATTATCATAGTATGTGTAATACGAGAAAACGTAGAGTGGGGATATAAGCCAACCCGATCGATTAAGAAGAAGACAAATATTTATTTTGATAATCCATGGTTACGTTAGTTGGATAGTGTTAAGGCCGCGTAGGAATAAAGGACAAGAGTAAACTCTATTTAATATAATTGAACGTAATCAATGATAATACAAAACATAATTCAACGTCTGTTCACGATGCATGCCTGCAACGCACTGGTTACCAGGTACAGAAAAATGCGAAACGCATAACAAGTCTCGGTAACCCCGACAACGGGCCCTAACATATCAGAGAGCTTGCTGCACGCACACATGCACAGTGCCGACTAACAGATAGTTACCTAATTATTTGATCCCATGGTTACATGATGTGTTAGAAGTTAGTTGTTTAGATATCCAAGATACTCACTTGCAAAAGAACACTCGAATGAAACGGACCGCTGCCAGTGAGCAGAGC